CGTATGACAAACTCATAGTTAACATCATACTCAGTGGTGAAGGACTGAGAGCTTTTCCTCTATGATTTGTTAGAAGACAAAGATGTACATTTTCAAAACTACTATGCAATTGGGCATTGGAATTCCTAGCCAGAGCAATTAGGCAAGAGAAAAATATAAAGGAATCCAAATTGGACAGAAGGAAATAACAGTATCACTATTTGTAGGTGAAATGATAATATACATAGAAAATCTTAAATCCTCCACTAGAAAACTAATTGAAATGACAAATTAATACAGCAAAGTGGCAGGTACAATAGCAATTTACCTAATTCAGTTGCTTTTCTATATACAATGATCTAGAAGAGAAAGAAATGAACACAATTCCATTCACAACTGCAACCAAAAGAATTAAATATCTAGAAGTAAATGTAACAAAGGAAATGAAGGACCTATACAATGAAAACTACAAGAAACTGCTGATATATAAAAGGAATGGAAATATATTCCCTGCTCATGAATTGGAAGAATTATCATAGTTAAAAGTGGACATATTACCTAAAGCAATACACATATTTAATGCAAATATCAAAGTTTCAATGTCATTCTTCAAAGAAATAGAAAAAACACTACTGAAACTTTTATGGAGCCACAAAAGTCTCAGAATAGCCAAAATAATCCCAACCAAAAAAGTGAAGAATGGCAGTAACACACAGAGACTCCAAATTATACTACAAAGTTATAGTAACAAAAACAATATGGCACTGGAACAAAAACACATATAACCAGACTAGTGTGATAGAACTGAGAACCAGAAATAAACCCACACATCTTTGGACAGTTAATTTATGACAAAGAAACCAAAAATATACATTGGAGAAAGGAGAATCTCTTCAACAAATGGTATTGGGAAAAATGGACAACCATATGCAAAAGAATAAATTTAGATGACCATCTCACAACTTACCAAAAAAAAAAAAAAAAAACAAAACAAAACCCTCAAACTACATTTAAGACATGGATATAAGACCCAAAACCATGAACTACATTAATTAAAACAGGCAAAACACTCCACAATATTAGCTTCAGTGACATCTTTGTGGACTGATCTTTAACAGCAAGACAAACAAAAGTCAACATAAACAAATGGGGCTACATTAAACTAAAAACCTTCCATCTAGTGAGAAAAAACTATTAGTAAAACAAACAAAAAACATTCAATTGAATAGAGAAAATATTTATATATCACACATGAGACAAAAGGCTAATATCCAAGTTATATAAAGAAGTCATACAACAAAAAGAAAACAACCCTTTCCAAAATTGGGCAGCAGATCTAAATAAAGTTATCCAAAGATGACTTAAAGATAGCCAACAGGCATATGAAAAATGCACATGATCACTTACAAGCAAAATGCAAATCAACACTTCCTCAGCCTCATATACTTCCTCAGCCTCATATCAAAATACCAGAAATAAAACGTATTGACTATGTTGTGGAGAAAAATGAACACTTATATGCCGTTGATAGGATGTAGACTGGCTCAGCCCCTATGGATAGTAGTATGGAGGCTTCTCAAAATATTAAAAGTAGAATAAAAATTGATCCACCACATGATCCAGCAATTCTGCTCCTAGCTATCTACCCAAAGAATACAACAACACTAATTCAAAAGGATATATGCACTCCATTCATTGCAGCACTGTTTATAATAGCTAAGCTATGGAAACAACCTAAGTACTCGAAGGCAGATGAGTGGATTGAGAAGATCTGTCTATAGACACAATGAAATTCTACTTAGCTGTGAAACAGAGGAATGCTTGCCATTTGCAGTAGCACAGATGGAACTGGAAGGGCTAATGTAAGGAAATATGTGAGAATGAGAAAGATAAATAACAGATGGTTTCATTTATAACTGGCATGTACAGAAACAAAACAAAGGGTGAGACAAAATCAAACCAATAACAAATCCAGAATTGAGGCTACCAGGTGGGGAGGAGTGGGAGGCACATGGTGGGGAGGGCCACAATGGACTATAACGCAAGACTGTGGGTGTCTTAGTGGTGTGTATATTGTGATGTCATGCATCTGAATAGGTGTGATCCTATGGTTCTGAATTGTATACAGTGTTATAAGCCAATGTTACCCAAATAAAAAAGTAAAAGTAAATAAACATCTTTGATATAAAAGTAGTCTTTAAAATTTAGATAAGTAAACAAAGTAAGACAAAATGGTGCAAAATGAACATTTTTAGGAAGAGACAAGAGTGGATAATTTAGATTGGATAACAATTTAGAAAATTTTGCTTGACTTCCTTAATTTTAAAATTGAGTGGATAGTGTGTATCAGCTTTCCCCACAAAGCATATATCTAGAAAAATATGTAAGAATATTTAATTTATTTTCTTACATCATTGTAATTTTTGGACAATATTTGATTTCTCTCCTCAGGTGTAGTCCCGGTAGTTCTCCCACCACCACAGCACCCATGATTCATCACTCCAGTCCCTCATGCTCTTCCCTCCCTGTTTGGATCCCTCTCTCTCCTCTGCTATATGCCTCAGATCTCTGGTCAGCTTGCAAATTTTGTTTCTTTCCTAACCCTTTGATTAGTTTCTCTATATTCCACATTTAAATGAAACCACCCAATATTTACCTCTTTCCTTCCAATTTAGTTTGCTTAGCATAATCCCTTCCAGCTCTATCCATGTTGCTGCAAAAGGCATGTCGATCATTTTTGGATAGAATATTTTATTCATATAAATTTTTCAGAAAGTTCAGTCATATATTTTTAAGGCAATTATATGTATCATTAGATTTCAATTACTCATGCCCATTATTTGGAATAGTACTGATATTTTTATTTCTCTGAGAGTTGTTGAGTTATTAATTTCTCTTCTTCCATATAAGAGGGGTTTTCAATTCACTTCGAGTCATTCTGTAGTTTCTATCATAAATTAATGGGAATATGGTGATATCAAATCTTAATTGCCAAAGAATGTGAGGGACAGAAATCTATCCATAAGTCATTTTGATGAATTTTGGAGATTATTTTCCTCTACTCAGTGTTCTGCCATTATACCAAACCATTGACCAAACAGAATTGCCTGCACAGAAAAAAGAGAGAGGTTGCATAATGTGTTGCACCTCTCCCAGATATTGAATATCTTTTACTGGAGGTGCCAGAGGAGGCTATGTGTGTGCAAAGAATCTACCAGGAAAAAACAAGTGAGTTTATTTGCAGCCCCCAAAATACGGTTGCCTGTTTGTAGGTCCTTGGTAGGATATACTGTCTGCCATAATTTTATGGTAATAGATCATTATCTCAGTCACATTTTCTACAACAGATTGAAAACCAGGAAATAATCACCAAAGTTGTTTCAGAGGTCAATCTCCTGTATATTTCACAAAATCTGTTAGCTTAGTTTTCTGGAGGTTGATTAAGATCCAAGATGCCAAAGTTTTCATTTTATTCATCCTCTCTCTACTGTCTAGTTTAAGAAAAATGACCAAGAATGAAAGAGGAGGGGGTCAGAAAATGATTATTTTCAATTTAAATGCATAAAATCAGCAGTGTGAACCGGACATCATGGAACTCATATTTCACTACTTAATCAAGGAGGAAAGGAGAACAATGAGAATTCTGTTCCAAGAGTTTCTCTTGTGGGGAAAAGGAAAGATCTAGTGGAACTTGCTTTTTGATCTGCTTTAAAAGATATATTCTGCTGCTTTGTACAAAGGAAATTGTACAAAATTAAGCTTCTAGTGTATTGTGTCCTTTTTAAATTGTTTTGGGTGCTGTGTGGTCAATAATCTTGATAAGCCCAGAAATTCCAAAAGCTTCTTGATACCAAATGCATAGGGATGTTGCAAGATCCACTTTGTGACTGCTGACAAGTGACTGGACTCTGTTTACCCACATGGACAGAAGCATGAGGTTATAGGGCAGAAGATGTCACTGGAGGGCTGGGGCCAGGAGGACTGCTCAGGTACCTCCCTCTGTTCCCCTTACCGCTGACTTCTGGTTCAGTCTGATCCACTGTAGACTTAAAATTGTAAAATATTTATTAAAATTCTAGTTGCAAAACTTTAGTTTCCTCACTTTCTGATAATGGGCCAAGATCGGCACTTTGAAAGGAATCTGAGGTGGAAGGAAAATTGGGGAGAACATGAATGAGAATGTTTATGATACAATACACTCTCTTTCTCTTACTACATGGTTTACCACAAAAGATCTAAAAAAGCAGCTGTAGGGCTTTGTTAAGTACACAGCTGGGACAAATCCAAGAGCCTTTTATTTTCCTGCCAATACTCTTATGTGCAATGCCGAACAAAGCATATTTTTGATAGTAGAAGATAATATATCCTCCTAGTTGCACTGTTTCATGTGGATAATTTATAGTGAATTTCCCATTATATGGTTGTCACAACACATTCTTTGCTTTATTTTGTGGCTACCTATTCATTTCTAAGAGCCTTCCTTTTTATAAAATGTTTTAGCAAGACCTCAAATTCTTAATATCGACTAATGTTATTACAAAGTGGAAAGCATTTCTCTGAGTCAATAAAGTATTATATATATAGAAGATGATCGATAGCCTATTTGCAGTCATTTATCTTCTTGTAACAACTGATTTGGAAAACAGAGGTATGAACTTGACCATACTCAAAATTACAGAGTTCTTTAATCATCTTCTCTAATGCTAAAACATTTTAATTTTAAAACAAGCAACACAGTGAAGGCAAGATGAAAACAGGATGTGTTACAGAGTCTCCCGCTGCTGTTTCATTATGCATAAGCACTTTGTCAGAAGTTATTTAGGTACAAGAAATTCAGGGTCCCTGCCTTGCCTGTCCCCCTCACCATATCCTTTGAGTACTAACTTGCTGGAAGTCATAGCCCAACTGCTCCACCCCCTCCAACCTTCCCCACATTATGACATCACATTAAGCCTGGAATGGAAGCACCATCTTAGTCACTTATTTTAAAGGTGAAAACATTCTTGTACTCCAGGTAAGCAGATTTTAAAGGAACATACATGTGTTTACTTGGTTTAGATTGCCAGCTTACTTTCTTAAATTTACTCTTTTGCACATCAGTCTATTTTGCAAAAGATTTCCCTAAAGCTATTGCTATTCTGCCTCAGATAAAATGGTAAGTTTTAATTCATTTCTTATTTTTTTTCTTTCATATCTCTTGGCTTACACTCTAGGATAGCTCAAATCACTAAACTTCACAGCAGCCACAGAAGAGAAAAGTTAAAAAATATCCTCTTCCCTCTTCCCACTTTTTTTGGCCATATGTCAGTGAAGAGTCTGAAGAGCCTTTGTGGGGCAGAAATTGTGAGAGTTCTTTTATTTAAATTTTTATCTTCTGGTCATGATTATGAATGTTTGCACCTTTGGTTCCCATGCAGATGCCTAAAACTTTAAGAAAGTCCTTCTTTCTTACAAGAGGATCCCTATGTGCCAAGGAGTATAGAGGGAATCCTCACTATTTTCCTCTTCCCCTATTTGCTAGCCTGCTCACTTCCAAGGCAGATCTAGTTTGGTAGCCCCAAAACTCTAAGTTTTTATTAGAGGGCTGGGTTCCATGGGTGCCCAGTAGTATGGGGGAAAACCATAGTAAGAGGTAATAAGAGAAAGAGTCCATCATTGATTGACTATTGACTATCCCAGACTATGCATGTAGAGAACTGATCCAATATATTTTGAGAAAAGTTTTGAGAATTTAACACTTGCGTAGACCACTACCCATGCCTACAACTGCATGTAGAATTAATCTAAAGACCACTGAAGAGGCTTTGAAAATTAAATAGACACAGAAACCACAGCCCATTAAAGGCTTGAATTTGAATGTAAGCTACAACAAACATTTCAATATTCCGCAGAGAATTTTCTCATGACGTAAGAGAGAAAATATTTATTATATAACCAAAGTTATTCAACATACAAAGATCCAAGACAATTTCAACATTTTTAAGGGGAAGTTAATAAGCAAACATCAACTCACAGATGACTCAGATGGTAAAATCACAAAATATGGACCTTAATGCAGCTATTATATAATCACATTCATTAAATAACAGCAAAACCTCTTGAAATGAATGTAGGCAGAGTTGTCCACAAGGAAATAAAACAACTATGAAGATTAAATGGGAATTTTGAAAATGAAAAATTAAATAAAATACATTTCACTGCCAGGAATTAGTAGCAAAATGGAAAAGATAAAGAAGAGTCTATAAAGATAGATGGATAGAAAATTTGCAACTTATATTAAAAGAAAAACAATTAAAAAGAGTGGATAAAGCCTATGGGATACAGAATACAATCTCAAAGGGTTTAGCACTCATGTTATATAGGATTGTTGGAGAAGAAAGGAAAAAGGGTGATGCAGAATAAGTAATTGCTGAAAACGTAATTTGGTAAGAGACATAAATTTACAGATTCAAGAAATTCAGAAAGGCAAAAAAATGATAAACACTCATTATTGTCAGATAAGGAAAACCAAAGAAAAAACTTTGAAAATAGCCAGAGAAAAACAGCATCTTCTATATTGGGAAAAGATCAAATGACTTCAGATTCCTCATCAAAAACCACAGAAGGCACCTGAAGAATATTTTTTCAAGTGTAGAAAGACTGTTAATCCATACATCTGTATCAAAGAAAAATCTACATTAGGTATGAAGGTATTTTTAAATGAAAGAAAGTTAAAATAATTTACTAAAAGCAAGCCTTCTATAAAATAAATACTGAAGAAAGTTTTTCAGGAATAGGAAAATTATACTAGAAAGAAATGTGAAATTGTAAGGATGAAAGAAGAATAAGAGACATAGCAAATATCTGTGTAAAAATATCAGGCTATCTTTTCTCATATTTTTAAAAATATGAATGATTGCTTAAAGCATGCATTTTAATATTGGTTGATTGTGTTCTCAATGTATAGAAATGAGGTCATATAGCATTTAAGCTGGAACACTATGACAATCCTCTAAGTTCTCCATATTGCACTTGAAATGGTAAACTAGACTAAGTAGATGATGAAAAACTTGTTATGTCTATTATCACCCTCAAGCAATGACAAAAAAAAAAAAAACAACTATAGTAGTAGAAAGTCAAAAAACTAATAAGCTTAATAAGATGGAAGAAGAGGAAAAAGAATGAAAAATAAAAGTGACAAACAGAAAATCAATATGATGGTAAACCAAAATGCAACCATATAATACATCAAATAAACATGTCCTAAATGCACCAATTAAAAGTGTCAAATTGCAGAAGAAAGCAAACTACATATAATCTAAAATAAAATGAACCTAAAATATAACAATATAGATGTATAAAAAGCAAAAGCATGCATATGCTATTTAATACAGCTATTACTCAAATGAAAACCAGAATGGCAATGTTACTATCAGAAAAATTATTTCAAGAACAAGGACAATTGCCAGAAATAAAGAGGGGATTACCTAATAATTTGATTTGTACACACATATTAACAGAGCTTAAAAAATATGTGAGGCAGACACTAATAGAACTAAAAGAAAGAAAAATCCACACTTGCAGATTTCAACCTTTCTCAATTGTACAACAAATACAGAGATTTTCAAAAAGGATATAGGAGAGCTGAACATTACCATTCAACCTGACCTGGTTGCTGTTTATTGATTACACAATTCCCAACAACTGAATGCATCTTCTTTTCAATTGCTCTTGGAACATTCACCAAAATGATCTGCTCAATATCCAGACTTCATATATATATGATATGCTCATTTTACATGGCATACTATTTAAAGTTATTTAAACCTGAAGAATGAACAACCATATAGAAGTTTTACAAAATAAAAATGAGTGAAAAGAAAAATCAAAAGAGCAAATAGCACAATAATGACAATGTAATAAAGAATTATTAATGAATAAATAAAACGAGAGTAATTTCTGTTTAGGTACTCATATCACATTTTTAAAAAGAAACCATGAGAAAGTCAAAACATTTTCTGTCTAAAATTCAATAAAACTGGAATTAAAAATGCTAAGACTAAACAAAAAAATAACTTTCCAAAATTAAAATCCACACTTTACAGCAACCTCCACATAAAATAAAAACTCAAAATGAAATTACAGAATATCTTAAAAATATATTATAAGCATTGTGTGGAGATTCTTTGGGGAGGTCTAGCATTATGTTCATTTAATTCATAGTCTTATGTGTTTATACTAGTAAGAAAATAGTTAATTTGACACAAAAATCCAGAAAAATAAAATAAGAACATACAGTAAATGAATAATTAAACAGATGTTAATTTAATTGAAAACAATTAAATTATATTGAAAAAATATTTGCTAATACCATTAATAATGATTTTAGCCAGGGAACAATGGAAAACGTCACATTTAAACCAAAGACAATACAGATGCCTAATAAAAATATTATCTAATGTTTCACACTGTCCCACACATAAATTTGTGAACGTGGGCTAATTTGAATTAATAATATTTAATATCGACCACAGAACAGAAACCAAAGTATCAATGCTCCCGGATGAAATCGAGAAAACTGGCTACTGAGAACCTCCTGTTCTTCAATTTAAATTACTGCGGAGTTTAAACTTCTGTTCGAAACTTTGCAATTGCTTCTACTGCATGTGTAACGCCTCGCAAATTCCTTACCTTGTGTAGGGGCAGCCGTGCAGGTGGGCAACATAGGGAGACCTGGGCCAGGGCGCTCTGGGCGTTCTCTGGCGTTTTCATGACGTCTCTGAGTGACGCTGCCCTTATATTGGGGCCTCTGGGTGCAGGTGGGCCCACACCGTACTCTAGTGTCCGCCATCAGGCATGCGCACCCCGAGCCCAAGCTCCCAAGCGTCTCCGCGGTTTAAGGCCGCAGAAGGTAGCCACCGAGGCGAGCGGTGTAAAAGCCTGAGCAATTTCATACACCCTACACCGTGATCTACGTGGTCCTCCATTTGGTTGGGTGACCAACTCAACTGGCTTGCCCAGAACTGAAGTATTTCCTGGGACACAGGACTTGCTGACCTTCAGCCAGGGACCTTCCAGGAAACGCGAACTGTTACCCTGTGCCTTGGAGGGCATCCCTGATTTGAGCCTCCTCCAGAGACCTTGACTTAATTACTCAACTCTACCAAGAACATTCTTAGGTCATAGAGTTTACATTCATTTGCTGCTCCCCTAGCTTGGAATGCTGTCAAGATATGTCAATATTTTTTCCTCAAAAAAAATAAAAAAGTAGAATAGCACTAAAAAGACGTCTAATAATGTCAGGATAAAACAAAGAATGCATTAAGAAAAATAGAACTTCTGGCCAATGGAAATACACAAAAAAGAGAACAAATATTAGAAAACAATAATTGAAACTTCATTTTCAGGTGGTTGACTTTGTAAATAAAAGAGTCATCTGAAAACTAAAAAATGTTGAGTAGGGCTCCGCTGGTGGCGAAGGCGGTTGAGCGCTGGACCGTGAAGCTGTCCCGCAGTCTCTGCAGCGCGGGTTGGATCCCGGCAGGCCGGCGAGGGTCCCACATGGCATGGCAGACCCCTCCTGCCACGCCCGCTGCTCCCTTCAACAATGTATTTCGTCAGTCTGCTGTTCTGATGCCCGCTCTGTCTCTGGTGACTTCTTTTACCCTCCCGCACATCTGGCCTGTACCCCGGTTCTTGTATAAATAAATCTTTAAAAAAAAAAAAAACTTAAAAAAATGTTGAGTAATCGTCTATCCAATTAACACCTGGATGCTTTGGTGGTGGGTTACTGCAATGACTATACCTGAAGGGGGAGATCCACTCCCTCCAAAATACTAAAGATGATGTAAAACAACAGTACTTCAATTAAAAGTGTAAGCAAACAAACAAAACAGACCCAAATCAAGTAGTTTAATTTTAAACAAAATTAGAATCAGACTAAAGTAATAAAATATATCATACATTAAAGTATCAGCAATAACAAAGTATTTAGTATTAAACATAATTTAAAAACTCTACCAAAGTTTGTAAATGAAAAATATGCATCAATAAAATGAGTATAGGTGACGATTTTTGTATGTTCTGTTAATTCTGTACAAGTAAAATACTAATTGTATTCTTGATGTTAATGATTATTAATTTAAAATATTGGAGCAAAATATTTGAAATAGTAAA